GCGATGAGGGCTTGGCAACCCCAGAGTGGGGTACAACCATTGTATGAGTAAATTAGGACAGTCATGTGATGAGCGGGATCACTAAAACTACGCTACCGCACCCGCACTTATAATACATAACTATAACTATTTTAATGCGAAATATGAAAGTCAACCCAGTATAGCCTCAAACGCAAGGATCTCGTGTTCATCCTTTGCACCCACTCGTTCCTCAATTTATGGTAAAGATAGCTTTTGATCAGTGTTCAGCACGGTTTCCAGCATTCAGAAGTAAATCACGTATCCGGTTTACCACATTGCGCGACTCAGCACAGAAAATGAGGGATTTCGAGACGATACAGTTCCAAGAAGTAGTACTGCTAACATCTTGTGCACTTCAGAAGAGTCAGTCTGATGTGGATTCCAAGACTTCGTGATTAATACGAAACGAAATAGAAACGATGATATTATGAACGGGTCTCAGATTACATAAAGAGCATCAATTCGATAGATTGCGCAGTCGTAAACTACGATGAGTGCCCATATGGAAGAAAAAGGGAGAGATATGGCCGCACAGCTCCACCACTTAACGATTCCGTTTTTGTACGTCTACCGTGTGCTACAGTTTACGCAATGAAACTTACTGCTGACACCAGTTGGATATGAAGTGTTCCTCATTTTAGATTTCCATTAACAATTGTCAAACAAACTGTTTTATAACCATAACGATGCTAAGATATTTACAGAACTCCGAACCGCTGGAGCTTTTACTGTTTTGTTCTTTATTTTTGAAATTTATTATTACTTCCAGTGACGTTTAGTTCTATTTACCACATTGCAACGTCAAATTGTACTTCACTTTAATCTTTCACTTAATAAATCGTTTTCACAACTTACGAAGAATTGTTTGGACCATAACCCATTTTCCAAATAAGTTTTAACTTGTTGGTTGAACAAGATTTTCTCTCCATAGAGTATCGAAAACTGGGCTACTGCCCACCTTCTGTCACTTAGTCACTATGTTGTTCTCAAGATGTGACTCATGGCAATGGTTCACTTTTGGGTAGGTTTCTGAATTAAAATGTTGAATCCGTTCTTAATATCAGAGACCCTAATGGATAATGATACACAAGCTGAACATTGCCGCTTGACTGCCAGGAACAAACACTAACCACGATGAACTGGTAAACCATGAGGATATATGATATATATATATATATATCGATGCACGTAAGTATACATGTCTATATATATATATATATATATATATTTTATATATATATATACATTAAGCCCGTCCATCGACGATGAACGTCCTTTTATCATGTTATTTGGTGAGTTCGGTAGCTGTGGTGCTTTAATGAGTACCGAGAAGAGATGATTAGCCCCCAATGAACGTCGTCAAGGTAACCTAACAATGAGACAAAGCAACATAACGTATGAAAGAGCTCAAGTTTAGGCGATTAAAAAAGGAAGGTGAAACTGCAAAGATTCTACACTACGGCCAAGAATCAAATTTCTGGAAATGTGGTGGGCTTCGACGATTGCACAGTTGTCAACAGCTCTGATCTGAACTGGTCACAACAATAATTGTAATTGGATGTAATATATAATTTCTACGAAAAGTGTTTTCCCAGCTGTAAATTCACCCAATTTTTTTCGAAAACACTTAGTGCTTGCTTAGTCGAAATCACAATTTGAACCTTTTATTTACCGCCCGTTACAATTTTTCATAGTGGAGTGTGATGATGTGATACCACCACAGTGATGCTGAGATATTTGCAAAACTCCAGACCTCAACTGTCTGCAGTGGGGAACGAACGCGTTATTACCCTTTGCGAGGGCTAACGCGTTCATCACAACACCATGCGGATCCTTCGTTTCGCCTGTTTCTCAGCTAGTTCTATCGATCAGTGCCATCAGCAATCACCCATCAGCGAGATTGATCTGGGTAGCCCAAATGGGCAATGAATCCAGTACAGTACTGTAGAATACAACAGAGAATGCATTTGATTACACCTTTTCGACGATAAAACTCCACTATTATGTGAACTCCTGAGAGACCATCAATGGAAAGTTTTTTATTTCCAACTGCAATCGATCTGTATCTTATTATATTCTTTGCAATAAACAGTGTTACCAAATATGAAACGACACAAGTGCAAAGATCAGCTGCCATTTATCGTATGTTTTACTTTCACTTGTGGCAAAAGCAAATCATATAACTATCGATTTGTTTGTTTGTTTATTACTGTAGTACAGTGTTTAATAGTTGATCTGCAGTGCACACACAGTTTGCTGTTCGAATCGGCGTTTTAGTCTAAGCAAGATCCCACTCTCAGAAGTTGTTAAATCGGTAACAGGGTTGTCTACGATGGTAAAAACACTGACTTAGCCTATCAGCAAACCATCTGAAGTGTTTGTATAGACTAGATGTATATTCAGACAGTGGAATCATCACTCAGTTTTACAGCTCTCTTAATAATGCTCATGGCTACGTGTCTCATATCCTTTTAAATGAATGCATGTTTTTTCATCATGTCCAATATGAGAATTTTTGCCCTCAGTTTCTAATATTGCTGGCACTCTCTTCATGTCACGAACTATAAAGGAAGCAACGTCAATCAGGTCGTTTTAATGTTTTGACTATTGTGTCCCTTTAAGTATCTATCGCACTAAATGTGAACTTATCGTATACTTCACACCTTATCCAGAGAACTCTAAACTAAAGATACAGTATAAACCGTAAAGATATCAAAGCAATGTTTTCCACAAATTGTCAACTCATTCAGCTTAAGTATTTTAGGTTTATTCTTGATTTCGTCAGAATGTTACAGCTAAACTACGTGTAGTATAGCGGCTTCGAGAAAGAGGTAAAGACAGCATTCCATACGTACAGTACGGGTCAGAAAGGTGGCGAACCAAGCAACACATCGATTTCCCCCTACGCCATTGTGTCACTGAAGTGATTCTGGAAAACATCTAACGAACAACTATCCCTGATGCAATATAAAATCAATTTAGAAAGGAAATTGGGTAGAAACTCAAGGTAACTATTAAACGATTGTAGTAAGCGGCAAGTGTAAGCAACGAAGATGTCATTGTCGATTTAACCGATCACCACCACCAAGCAGACGGGAGATATTTCTTATACCTTGAATATATTTAATATCTTATATCTTATAGGACATGTCCTAAACAATACTCGACACCGTCAATCGACGGCCGCGATTGTCACCCATTGGGGCCACTTCAGTTACATAAGATATGTCTAGGTCGTGTGTCAATCGTCGTCTATTTGTCGGTGGATGTCATTCACATCGTTATTCGCTCATATTCTGACACTTTTACGATAACCCAACCCCTCCCCATTTCACACATGCACCCACATCCAGTCGCACCATTCGTGTGATTTATAACCGACTATACTGCAGATTTTACGTATTCGCAGTAGCCGAAATACAACCATCTGGAGAACTTTAAAATCTGAGAATCAAAATTCTCGTAGGATTAAAGGACCTTTTTTTCTATTCTTCACCTATGTGGTAGACTAATGACTCTGAAATGCATGCTTCTCTATAGATTTCGATGGAAAGTGGTGAAATTCACGCAGCATTATAACTTATAAGTAGTTATGTTCATATTGTCTTAGTTATGTTCATATTTTCTATGTTAAAATGAGTCCTTCAGAGGAAATATTTAGTCTTTCAGATTTCTTTGGGACTTCTAGACACGGTATCTCAATTGCTATTTTGCTTTAGAACATATGTTTCTTTGTATTTTGTAACCACACTTTGTGAAGCTCATATTTTTTGTTACCAATGCGTTAAAAAATGGGATGAAATTAAGAATGTATGAAATTTGAAAGAAATGACTCGATTCGCCATTAATTTGAATGCTTCTGCCTATTATTCTGGAAACATACAGTAACAGTTGGTGACGTCCTACAAGAAATTCGGTCACAAGGTGGTGAGCTTCTATTACAGTCAGCGACGATTACCTGTTATGATCAATACATGAAATCATCTGTGAACATCACCCTACGCAAGTCGTAGTTTCGTGAAGTTAAGAGCAGTTGATAACAAAGGAAAGTACCAGGAAATTGTGAACTATGGTGAATGTCGCACCATTCGTACAGATGGGTCTTTCAAGTAATCAAAACACCAAAGAATAAAGGCAATATTTATGTCCTAGAAGAACAGTACCAGATATCTAAAACCATGTAACAGGTGCAGTATTTCGATCTTCCGACTATATTTCTGTTCCTAAGATTTTCCATTTGGCAACAATCCTCTAAGCTTCCCTTCCTGACGCCTCTAAAATTCAAAAAACCGACAACATGTACCGCACACTAGCAATCATGTGAAAAGTACGGTAGATCAATAGTTCGTTCTTTTACTTAGACCACCTTATTCTGGTTATTAGAACATATTCATTAAGAATGTTTGAAGAATAGCTGATGGCGATTATGTTCGTGATGATGATGCAGATCAAAAACTGAACCACGTCCCTAACCCTGGTAGAGACGGGGTTTGGCTCTAAGCCAAAATATTGGATTAGTGTGACCGGAGAGCGTTGTCGATGAACCAATTACGACCACCATCATGGGCGTGTCAACGACGACCTCATCCGGAGGCTCGCTGACTCTCCTTCTTATGCAGTCTTTGTCAACGACATTTGCACAACACGACGCCACTCAACGCAACTTGTCAACGATAGCATTCTTATTCTGCCATATTTTCAACACAATGCCGAATTTATCAACATATTACTGTAATTACAAGCTCATCTTCACTATTAGTTTCGTAGTCCGGCTTCTTTCTAAACTACTCTCATCGTTAGTTCTCTACATCCAAGGAAATTTAGGAGAAAGTAGAGATCACGCGAGTTTCAGAATCTGCTGAAAGTTTTTTTTCCCAATTTCCGATAATAAATAATAGCCTTTCTGCTAACTATTTCTTCTTATTATCTTCGAATTCCATATTTCATTTTAAGTTAAAGTTACCAATTGTAGAACACAAATGTCTGGCGAACGCGAAAAACCAGTAGAACTTGAGCAGGTGCCACTTAAAATGGACACCGACGCACCTGCAGGAGGCGTAGAAGATGCGACTCCAGCACCGAATGCGGTTAAGAAGTCGTGGTTCTTCAAGAAGGTGCAGATCATTACACATAAAGCTTACAAGTGGAAAAACTAACAGTTGAAAAATTATTAAAACGTGGGATTAACGCAATTGTGCTAGTCATTTCATCGCTCTAATTGAAATATCTTTGCAAAAAAAAAAACAAGTGTAACGACAGAAAGTGGTGATGTAGTACCCCTGGTTTTTTTTTTAAAAAACACCTGGTTTTCTAAGCTGTATTTTTTTCAAGGCAAAGAAGGCAATCATTGAAGAGCCGCCAAAGAATGAAGAAGAGAAAGCTGCTACCGAGGAGAAGCCAAACAAGAAATGTTGGTGGGGTAAGCATAAAAATGAAGAGCAGCAAAAATGCGATCATATCTCAATAGGGATAGATCTGGTGAATCGAGACGAGAAAGTAAGTGACTAGAAGATTTTACACGGAGCGTAAGTTGATGATTTTTGTTTAAAACTAAATTCAGGGAATCAATGAGCACATTAGGTTTGGTTTCGAAGACATTTTCGCTGAAGCGGATACACAACATTCGTGGGATTGTGTGTGGCGACTCGTCTACAAGGTGTTCTTGTGAGTATCTTTCCATTTATGATCGGTTAGCTTCAAGATTGCACGAACCACGATGGGTACTGCATAACTTAGCCATGAAATTAAACATAGCGCAGCATCATATACTATAAAGGATATCAGTCTAGAAATACGACTTACTCCTTGTCCAGATTCAAACAACCTTATTTGCCTCCTCCCTCGTTAGGAGGTAATATTTCTGGATCAGTGGTGGTTATATATGTCAGTAACGTTATTCAGGTGGACTCGTCGATTCGTCTATCGTCTCTGTTCGTTAATAATCGGTCTTCCTGCCGCCATCGTGTTCGGAATTCTCTTCGCCATCCTCTCCGTGATTAATGTGTTCGCCTGTGTACCCTTCGCTAAGCTGCTTTCTATTCCTGCAAACTGGATTGTTAAGGTATGGATATTTTTCCGAAGTGCAAAACGTGCTCCAACTTTATTGAACTTTAATAACAAAGACCGTAGTGGATCCTCCTGACAAATGGAAGCTGAATAACCATTTGGGTTTACGTATTTCCATCTTAATAACTGGAGATGCATACCATTATCGGCTTAGAACACCATTAATGTTGTATGTAGACATAATAAGTAGTTCATCTAACAGTTTCCAGCGCAAATGTGCAAATATTGGTTGGGTACTGACGGAAACGCGATATATCGTTACCCGAATGTACCGTGTACACACATTTGAATGTACAGCAATCGTCTATTTACCGATGTAAACCTGCAGACGTACAGACACACATACACCATTCTATCTGTTGCCACCGTAACCTACTTGTGCTTTCAGACATGGCGTTGGTTGGTACATGCTATCATTGATCCTGTGGCATTATCCGTTTCACTTCTTTTCTCGTCATTCACTATCAAAAAATACGGAATCAGCTCACAACCAACTGATGTTTTCTAAAAGATCTTCACTTAATCGCCACGTTACAATGGCTCAATATTGTTGTATAAGAAAATGTTCGTCACAATAATTGTATGTAAACGTTGATATGAATAATAAACGTCTCCCCTGTTGAAATACAAATGAGCCTGATCGTAGCATTGAAATCGGTCCCCAGACATACAGTTAGTTAATGCTGCCGAAGCCTCTTGTTAACAGCAAACCAATAAAAACCCTTAACCTACTGTAACCTTTCGTGAAAAAATCTCTGTATCACATGGAATTTACGTCAATTATATCACGTCATAGCCGAAGCTAACATAAATTCCCATGGCTGTATTATCTTCAAAAATCCACTCGGGATGATAGTGGTTGACCAACAGAGAGACCCAGACCGCGACGGGGTCACTAATTATGTGCACCAATTGCGAATGCAACCACGTCGCACACCAGAACCCGGCCAGTTTGAATTAAACACAACAGCCGTCCCGTCCGGGGTCAACTGTTGGCCCACAACCCTGGTGTGAAAGGTCAGCAAGACATCACCCAAGACGAAAAATCGTATGCATATTGCTGTTACCACAAATTCTGATATCGGATTACTTTTCACAAAGAAAATGTGTTCCCAAATGAGAAATCAGATGTCAGAAAGCTTTCACACCATACCTTAACAATCCAGATTTGAAAAAATTGAAGGCTAGTTCAATTAGTTGTCCCATATGCTCCCGGTTCATATACTTTTGTGAGCACTGGATGAAAAGTACAGTGTGCCTCATCTGAATTCAGAACCAACTCCGGAGATATGTTTAGTTTTTCTCACTGCAGATAGCATGAATATCCTTCTAAAACGTCGCTGACAGCCGATCGAATTCATGTTTTGAATGGAAGATCAAATTTATCAACCTATCAATTAATACATTTCAAAGTATCGATCGGCGTCTATGAACTTTAAAGATTAAGTCGAAAATTTAAAAAATCGAAATTAAAAAAGAGCTTAAGGATATTTCCAAATATCAGTAGATGTGTTAGTACCTTGAGCACATAGGGTCATTATTCACCTTGTTAACGATAGTACTGAAATACAATGATACGATAAAAATCCAAAACAAACCCGCCTTTCGACTGCACAGAACAATCAAAAACTTCATCAAAAATTAACAGTATAGAGTAATATCTCATAGATCATGACATATTTGCAAGGTATCGACAAGTGGACAGAGAAAATAATGGCTCTAGAAGAACCGTCCGCTCAGGTAAAGGTGCTCAGATTAGATCTTCATACAGGAAAGATTAATTGCAACGTAATCAACATAATGAGGCAAAAAAGTTTAGTAGGAAATACAGGGAATGGCATCCGATGATAAGAATGCACTACGTTTACAAGATTCGTATTAAACGTGAACATATTACTGCTTTGAGAGCAGCCCGAATTGAGAAGATATTGTTTACACAAAAAGGTCCAGTAAATCCTATCCTTATCTATACTTCCTTTTCGAACATGATCACGAATTCACTAGGCTGTTAACGGAAAAGCTGATCATGCTGAGAGAATACCCTAAGATATTGTCTATGACTATGTGAACGACACCGGACCCACCCATGCTCCACAGAAGGCGAACCTATAGAAATCCATACTTCTGACATTATCGACTGAAGCTCGAAAGGAAAGTGAGCATTTGTTGTTGGTCTGATTGTGATATGCCTGGTCGACCAGAAGATTTCATCTGAATATCGGAAGCGTTAGCTATCATATCAAGAAAGTACTGAAGACTTACTTACAACCACAGTCGTGCCTTTATATTTATAAAACTCCGGACAGTAGCGGTGTACGGTGGGATTGAACATGCTCTTACACTTTTCGGAGGGTAACGCGTTCGGTTCAAAGTTTTAAAAATATCTCAGCATCATTGTGGTTGTACCTCACATGATACCCTGACGTGAAAAATTGTAGTATTTAGTGAATAAAAGTCAATAATGAAGGCTTAGTTTGTTCAGCAAATGCCTATGATGATGTTGTTTCCGTAATGTTTATCAAAGACCGGTAATATGCAATGTACAGGCTTAAGTTAGGATTTTATTTTGGTAGAATGGGAAAACTAGTATCCTACAGGCAGACACCTGTGGATTCTTGATGTCTCCATTTCAATTAATAAGGCTCATCATGAAGTGAGATATGTTTGCTTGAAGATGAAGGGCACAAAGTATTCAGGACCGCACACGCATTTAAACCAATTCATAAAATCCATCAAGTTTTAAATATTCGGTGAAAAAAGAATAAAACTTGACAACGTCAAGCAAATAATATGTTTTACCAAGACAGATAATGCTGATTCAGAGAAATTCATGCAGAAAAATGAAGATGTGGTTCAGTTCTTAACACAGATTGGTTAAAAAGTCAAAGCTAGCCTAATATTTTAAGCAGTTAAAAGCCTTAAGAAAGGATAATCTTTTTGCTAGCTGATATCTACGACTATACAGGAAGAGTTCTGTAAATATGACATTGTCGGGATTAGTAATAACCTAATAAAGGTAACACTTAGAAACAATATGCTTTTCCTATGCAATCCAAAGTATACAATTTGATGGAAGTCAGTAATGAAGTACTTGAAATGCTAAACTGTCTACAACGAAGTACACAAAGGTCGTACACTGAGAACGTTTTTCTGTAAAAATGGGCATAAGGATGGGGCCTAAGGCTAAACGAGGCTCCGTGACCACTAGCAAACACTTCCAAACACATGCGTCCTAATTCAATTACTACACTAACTTGTTCCAAAACAGAACGTCTACGTCGTATAGGAAGTCCCAAAGTGAATTAAGATGAATTTATGTACCGAGACACTTTAACATCATTATAATATCATTTCACACCATTACAGAGTGCGTACCACGACCTAATAGCCCGTAATAACGTTGCCATAAGTTACACAAACTATACCGCGAGCCAAATACGACGATTATTTAGGTAGACCCGAACAAACGCTTCGCGAGTGAACATCAAACACAGTGCCGACGAGCGACCATAAGCGAAAAATGATAGAACAGTGAGTGTATTCTGATCAGATTGTTACGAGAGAGCAACATAAAACGGACGATATTATTTGTATAGCTGAACTACGGTTAGCCTTTGGCAACGTTTTCTATAACATAATTTAGCTTTCTTATCTTAGCAATCTTAAGGGTACAAACACTTGTTGCCCAACCATTCAATATACTCCCCTTATGCCAACGCATTAAATATGATAACTAGACATTGGTGTCTAAGAGGGTGGGAGCAATGTGCGAACATGAAAAACCTGTTGATTCAGGTGGTTCGATATCCTTAGTCGTAGTTTCCTAATACTCCACGGTCAATCATTCTATTATTCACCGAACAATGATGAATCTGCCGTTAATTCAAATCTCTATAGTGCAGAGTGAGATGAAACAATTTCCCAACATCTGATCCTGAGAAAGACTGCAAGATTTTTTAAATGTTCTTGAAATACCGTAAAAAGAAGAATCAAAACTTCTAACTACTAACCTTATTCGCTATTCTTTAATTTCGCCAATTCTATTCGCGTGCACCTTGCACTTCACACAACGCTCTAGAGACAATAAAAATGTAAGAGACCACAAAGTAAAAAAAAATGGGGTAGATTTCGCTTCAACACAGAAATTCTCCAGTGACAGCGGAATAAACGGTGGAAGTTTTCTCCTTAGAAAAATCAGAAGTTATTTCAGTCTTTTCTAGTGAATTCCCCCTACAAAAGAAATGATCTGAGCGAAAATGTTTTCAGGTACAGTGATGAGATCTTGAATTTGCGGTTGGAAGTGTTCACTTGACAGCAAAAAATACTAGACATATAGTATAAAACACGGTTCGACTGCTACGTTCGTTATAATTTCCAAAATTTGTCTTAGTAAATATGCTGGAACACCATCCTTGTTATAAAAGGATAAAGGATAAAGCCTTCACCGCTGGTCAATGCCTGAGTGATGCGCCATAAATTTGACTTCATTAAGCGTCGTTAGAGGTGATTGAATGCATATCTGACCTTTACAATGACTAACGGTGGCCTACCGATGTATCGAGCCAGCGGTGCTATCATCCCAGACAAGTCTGACACCAATTTTCCGACCCCGGACGGGTATATGGCTTGATGGAGCTGGGACGCGAAGATCGATCCCATGTGTATTGCATGATACTTCAGATCACCGCGACTTCCACCTTTTGTCATACTTACCAGTTGTAGAATTTTTAAGATTTTAAGAAACTCTATTACAAGTATCAACCATATCTAAAACAACCTTCACGTAGTAGATAGCTGTGTCGCAATAACTTACAATGCAACGTTTCCCGAAAGAAATACGTAAACTCGTCAACACAGACAGATTCTGCACTTTTCTTGCTGTTACACAGTGGACACCTTCACTTTATAAACTTTATTTTGTAGCAGACGCAATGCAAGACGATAGAATAGCCTAAAGATCGCACAACGTGAAAATGTGGACCAATCAAGACTGAAATACATTAGTAAATCTTCCCAGGACAAGTTCAGTAGGGCAAACCTTCTTGAGAAAAGTTAGATAAAGATTTTATAAACGGGATGAGAAAGTTTTGTTTTGCCGAGTTTTGCTCACATCTCAGCATTTTTGTGGTTTTGTTTCACATAATATGGTGCCATGAGCAAAGAATAAACAGCAAGCAAAAAGTTAAAACATAGGGATTTGTATAAGGGGACTTACTTGAACGTCCCGTTCTCACTGGTTGGGCGGACCCCAGCATGATTTCCATTTTTCGGAGAACTGCTGGTTAAGCCATTGTAGTTCCCGGATTCCTGAGGTCAACCTGGCCAAAGTCTGCCTCAGATCTTCAGCACCACAGGCAGTCGTAGCGCTTGTGGATTAGAGGAAGATCTGCCGCCATACGAATTTGATACCAGAACGGTGGTGGATTCTGGTATTGGTTTACTCTTAACTGGGCTTCTTGATGGAAACGCCGGACTTCTTCTCAGCTTGGGAGACCTTGCCGGAAAGACGAATCTCCCCGCTGCACATCGCAGCCCGACGCCCACGAAGACCTCCCAGCCATGATGAGGCGGTAAACCGTTAGGAGGATAAGAACGGTATTAGCGCATTTTTCGATTTAGTAATCGTACCACTTTACTATAAGGCTACTTAAGATCGCCGCATTTGTTGAAAAGGAAATCGCCATAAATCTAGTGCCGCGACCACGATACGACCGATAGCATCGGTTAGACCACATGGCGAGCGTACTAACGACACAAGTACTGCGCTTTCATACCAGTTGGAATTACTACTAAACTTTGAGCTGAACACATAAAAGAGCATTTTTATAAGTTTGTTCAGCCCATAACACACTTCTTGTGAGAGGATTATTTATAACCAACAAAACTGAAGAAGACTTGAAGAACTACGACGTTTATGATTGTAAAGAATAGCGGATCACATAATGAGCACCAATCCTAGTAGAACTAGTACCACATGGAGACTTTCGTGTAAAGCCTCATTTAGGAGATGTATAAAAAGAAATCTAAAAAATCAAGTAGTACCTGGTGTAATACGGATGCAAATGCTGTTTTGTGCTCGGCGGAAAGGGAATTAATAATCACATGTCGATAATTGAACATTCGTTGGAATAAAGGCGGTACTTGAGGACCCTGAAGAGTCAGACTTTTTCGTAAGAAAAAACCGCTCTCAAGTCTCTCATAGTTTAAAGGTCGATTTGGGATTAAAAATTGTCTTCAATACGTGATTTATCCAATATTATAAATATTAATACCTTCATTCTTTCAGTTTTGCGCCTATTTCTCCGCCTTTTTCGAGCATCTCCATCGTCATCACTCTCAGAACTAGATGAAGTGCTGGAGGAATCTGATGAGCTAGAAGCCTTCCTTCGTGCCCGCTTCTTCGCTTTCTCCTCTTTTCGTTCCTCCTCGGAATCTATTTCACCTTCGTCCAGCTAAAATGTGTAAAAATCGATTACTCCAGAAAAAAAAGTAAAAAATTAAAGCAGAGATGTCTAAAAACATCCACAAACAGAATATAAGGAGTTATTAAAAATCAGTTGTATATGAAGGATAGACATCTGGTTAATTCGATGCAACTAATTCGAAAATCATTTTTTAGCTGTGCAATTTCCATGCTCCTCACAACGGTTTATCCCCTCATCGTGGCTGGGTGTTCTGGCTGTCGCGATACGATCTACAGCGAAGAGTTCATCCTACAGAAGGGCTTCCGAAGCTGAGAAGGCGCCCGCGGTTTCTTCCGGAAGCCAAGCTAAGAGCAAACCAATACTAGAAATCACTACTGTCCTAGTATCAAACAAGTCAAGCAGTGTAAATCTCCATATAATTCACAAGCGCTGGCCTTTGTCTGCAGTGGTGACGACATGAGAAAGGCTTCGGCTAGGCTGACTTTGGGACACCAGGGAAACATAGTGGCTAAACCAGCAAATCTTCAGAGAATGGAATTTATGCTCGTACCCACCCAACCAGTGAGTACGGGTCATCCATGCATCCATGTGAGTATTACTTTAATGTTAAATACGCATTCAACGTGGAACCACATCACTGAAACATTTAAGTGCCTCTCACTTGAGCACATTAAGCGTGATTTATCACCATCACACATCACACTTTTTAAAATGACCCGACGTTACACACTGTGCCGATCCTAGCATTTTTCTCACTAAATTCGTTTTCACCTCGTTCAATGTCCACGAAGAACTTTCTATTTCCAGTGTGGTTTCAGCAGCTACTAGATGACTTTCGCCCTTTTTACGAATTCCATTGGATGATATTCGAGTAGATACGCTCTCAAATCTTGAGTTAGCCATGCTAGGATGCCCTTAAATCTCCACGACAAGTACTCACCAGCTTTTACAGAGTGGACAGAGCTTCCCAGATACCAAAGTGTGGTATCGGTTCTCCACGCCCCCAGAAAAAAAAGTGACGCACAGAAAATAGAATGAGCAACACTGAACCATTCGAATAATCCACGGTTTTAGGAATAAATAATGACAAATTGCAACAAAAATTTTTGAAAGCCAACTTCAGACAGATTCGAGTTAGGCCTCCAACCTGTTTTCTTTTTTTAATTTTTTATACGACCCGTTTTCACGTTCAGCGTGCGGATCCCAGCAGTTCTCAAATTCGATTCGTTTCCTCGCATCCACCGTCCACAAATGTCTTTCAACTTTTACATGTGGCTTCGACCGCTGGTTGGGAATCTTTGATTTCATCTCGAATGCCGTTGAATGTTGGTCGAGTCGTTTCTCACTGGAGTTACGAGATAGCAAGGCTGTAGCGTTCCTAATTAGAGTGCAGAGATTTATTCGTTCCCGGAGAAGCCCGGTGCAAATTTCCCCACCTCAGAGATATAAGAGGCTTGGTGAGCCTGGAGACCCAGAACGGTGCTCGTGATGATCGGCACCACCACCACTGTGCTATCTGCCCTCTCTAACTTCTGTTATAATTGCAAATCAAAACACGCACATCAACCTTTACACTTGCTCATACACATCACGAGAACTTGTATATGTAAACTTCTCTTTCCTATTGGTTGCAATGTAAGGCAAAATATGAAAAGTTAAGAAAATTCTTCGACATAGTGGAGATAACCCTTCAAAAAGACCATTCTCCTAGATTTATATTCAATAATGCTACTGACAAGATTCAAGTTCTTTTGCGTAATTCAGTAAAAACTTTCAACAAACGAACTACTACGTTATCAACGTGCAATTTAAACCTTCGGATGGGGATTGCGCAGTGATGGCGATGCCTTTCAATGAGCACAAGCCTTTCGTTCGACTGTGCATTGAGCCAACCAGGCGTCCCATGCCTTCGGAGTCAACAGATTTCTACCAGAATTTTCTGAGATCACCTCACTTATCCAATCGATGGCGATAGAATCTGGTGAAAACTTGAGGACGCCCTAGTACACCTGCCGTAAGATTCAAAGAAAATTCGACTCGAGCAGCATTCAACGACGTTCATAAACAAGAACAGAAATCGTTAAGCAGCCACACCCATGTTCAAATCTGGAGACTTTCCTGGATAATGGATGCAAGCGAACGAACTGCATGAAATAAGTGCTGGAATGTCCAGAGTGTGTAATGTCGCGTCAGATGAGAAATTGAAACCTCGCACTAGATATCACGGACCGGTTTGGTGGATTCTACATGACCAAAAACCTGACGTTCTTCTCAAGCAGTCATTCCAAAACCTCCTTAGCTTTTCATGGAATCCGTCACTAGAAGTTGTTACATAAACACCTTCAGCTTCCCCTATTATTGTGGTATTTACTTCGTGAAGAGTGAAAAATTTATCAGTTTAATGTGCGTCTTGCATGTACATAGCTCATAATGAAATAAACCTCCCCATAGGATAACACTGTTACTCTGGACTGCCTCAAAGTGTTCAGGGTGAATCACACCAGATGTCGAACTGTCATGCATAAACTCACACTTAAGTAAAGCCATCCATGTTGTAAAAAAAAATTTGTCATACTCGTGCTAGCGATGACATTTGTGAGTAACTAACTAGTAGGAATTCGCTTCTGTCATTCGAATAATAGGGTCTAGTCAACAGGAAACAGGTCTGGACCAGTCACAGCTCGGTTTTTATGATTAAACCATAAAACTATTTCCAACAAAGAAAACCTTAACACCACAAATCTTAGTCAACTGTACACCCAGCAAGAAAAGATGTTTTCTACGACCTATACGACACATTATGTTAAGAACACAAGTAAATATAAAATAGATGAAAGCGAATCACTTCAATCTTCAACGGACATTTCCTGCCAAAAACATCTATTCAAAGAAAAAGAAAGAAAACCATCCTCGTGAGTTATCTAGCATTGCTTTATAGCACTCGTAACGATTCAATAAGTTTAGTAAACTGACCTCTTTCGGGGGCTTGGACGGTTTTTCTGAAGACAATTTTTCCACCCTCTCCTTCCCATTTTCCACCTCCTTCGATAGACGCTCCTTTCCCAAACTTTTGTCTAGTGCATTAAGCTCCTCCCGTGCCTAAACAAGTCAAAGTACGTAACAAATATGACTACAGAATAAATACGATGAAAAACCAAATCTTACCTGCTGCATTATTCGCATCTTTATTGCGCCCACTTTTTTCTCTTTCCACTCTTTTTGATTTTGTCTGCAAAAAAAAATACTTGAAAGGCAACATGAAACGATGTCAGCGATAGATTTCACTGCTTTCTCAAGAATGGAAAATAAAAGAACTATCACGAAGTAAAAATCAGAAGACCGAACGTTTTAAAAAATGGTGCGACAAAAGATACTTGAATTTCTTGAAGTCGTGAACCTCCCGCGCCTTCTTCGCTGGAGGCTCATCATCCGTTAACTTCGCATAAACAATGTCCGGTTCATTCGTTTTAGTTAACCTAAAACAAGAAGGCACGTTTCTTATGTCATTATTCTTGAGTGAACAAGTTTGTAAAATAAACGTTCATAATGATGCTGAGATATTCAGAAAACTCCGGACCGCAATTGTCTGCGGTAGGGAACGCACGCACATTGGCCTTTCTGGGGCTAATGCGTTCACCACTACACCATGCGGGTCTTTCGTTCCGCCTGTCCCTCAGCTAGTTTTCTGTTTACCAATGCCATCACTAATCACCCATTATAACAGTTAACAATCAAGTTAACGCTGTAAGTGAACATTTTTAAAATATCGTTGTAGCCTAGGTACGACTAGCGGATAACATGAACAAAAGCAAATTAAAACACAAACAGCGGGAAACAGCAAAAAAACTCATTATCGTTGTTCATCTAACAGCATATTTTCCGCGCCATAAAAGAAGAAAATTTCCAAGCTTACTTTGCCCACGTTTCAAAACTTAGAGCTTCTCCACCCAGTGTTATATTACCGTCATCGTCTTCTTCAACTTCAAGCTCACCTTCCTCAGTTACCATTCTGCAAAACAATTAAATAAAATGAAAAACGAATAATGCAAAAACATGAACAAATACTAGAAAACGTGCTTGCTACGTTGCGCCTCCAACAGTGCTCCAACACCCATTAACACCCGACCAGCTCGTGATTGCGCCGAATTTTTCCTGAACTAGTGAGCAAATTTAACCATTGAAAAACCAATGAATCCATTTCGACTAGGAATGGACAGAGACCAAAAAGAAATTCATAAATTAACCCTCTGAATCGCTTCTTGCTTGGTGCCACTGGTACGTACTCGGCCGCTTTCATTTGAACGAAAGTCGGCCGATCAACGAACGTTTCGCTCCTTACTTCATGTTTCCAACCTCTAAAAAAATGGAAGAACAAAATTGAGTGATGGCACGAAAAACGTTTGTCTTTGCAACTACGTGTACTTAGTGGTCCGCCATAAAATTAAATGGGTCCTTATAATGAAATAGCCTTACGCACTTTATTAGAAATTGCAGATGGTCCCTCATCCAAGCAGTTTGAGCTTCTGTTAGGTGTCGCTGTAGAGTGTGCAACATTGCAGGTCGTAGTACGCTGTCCGGCAAACCGCCGATTTGAGACGATACAGCGTCACAAATTGTGTACAGTTCCATAACATCAGTGATTTCCGCCCAATTAACACGATGTGCGGAAACGTACTGAAACGAATATAACGATATTGGAAATTAGAATGATCCTTTACCTTAACAGCAGGAAAAGGCGAAGAAGATCTACAAACAATAATGGATGAAGTGCAGTATAAAACGTAAAAAAGAGCGATAACTGAAAACATGGGTTATGGACACCTAACGTGATAGTGTTAACCGCAGACGCATTCTTTAATGTGTATTTCAAGACAGTGCCGAGAAACCTGTCAGACGCTAAGATATTCATAAAACTTAGACTTCGGGCCACATCGAACCTCGATTACCATTTCCGGAGGCTCGTGTATTACACACTACGTCATTTAGGCACTTGCGTTGCGTTTCTCTCAGCTAGTTTTCTACGTAACGCTGTTAGAAAACACACATGGAAAACATGAAAATCCAAACCTGCTACGTAACACACATGAAGATTTCTGTTCTTAAGGTTAGCATTTTACGTGGCAATTCAAAAGATCAAACAGCTACCTTTATAAACATATCCGTTACATCATCTTCGTCGAGAACCGGTGCTAATTTGACATCAGCAGGTGGAGCTACTGTTGGCTGGGCCTCACAAGTTACAGGCGGCTTGAGAGGTGCTGAAGGTGGGATGATTTGCGGCACAAATGGTATTGGCTTTTGCTCCTGTTCCACAAATGCAGCATAATCAGCCGGAGTAAGGATTCTAAAACATAAAGTCTGAAGTAATACGCCCTACGACGAAGCGAAAACATTTAAAAAGCGAAGTTAAACTTCCACTCTGAAGCGAAATGACTCCTCAAGTAAACATCTATAAAAAAACAGCATTTCGTGCTAAATTTTGAAAATCCAGAGAAATTCAGTCTCGGAATAACGTAATCACCTCAATACGCTTTGCTGTTGACCGTCATCAAGTTCGAATCCATCTTCTGACCTTGCAGCCTCTACTTGCTCTTCTGTATGCATAACCACCTAAATAAACCAAAACAAAACCGATATAAAGTTTCGCAAGGACTTCCAGAAGGGACTACTTATTCACCTCTGCTTGCTTGTGCTGACTCCTTAGAGGCAAAAACGTAATTTTCTCAATGTGATCAGCTTCTAAAATCCATAAATTTAAGAAATGAGGAGCGTTACCTAACACCCATAAAGAGAAGGCTGTGAATTCAAGAAAAAACTACAACCAGAAACATAAACAAAGCCACACCAAATATGCTGTTGAGCAAACTCTGTTCAGCAGAAGTAGGCAAGTCAAGAGCGTATATGGTTCGTTTCCGAACCTCTTCATCGGACGGGACTTTGAAAAACGGTCGCGAACGGCATGTTGCGGGTGCAACTAAATAACGAGGATGTATAATTTATTACAATGAGGAAACAAACCGTTAACTCACAAAAGCAAGGACCAGCTTCTACTTTAATAGCTTGACCATCAATACGTATTTTTTGAGCCTGTGTAAATGCTTCTCTTGCAGAACTGATTGAGTCAAATGTAAGTGATATGCATCCCGGCTTTGGACCCTATAGTCAAAAACTATGGTTAACAAATGTTGTTGATGGAAAAGTGCGATAAAGAAAAAGAATAAAACACTCAATACCCTTTGCTTGGCCGCTCTTTCAAATTTGATATTGAATGATTCACATCGTGCAAGCATATTAATGATCTAAATATCATGAATTGATTGACCGACCACTCAAGAACCACAATAGTCATCTATGTGAACGTACCTCTGAGTGAGTCCTCCATCCTCCAGGATGTCTTAAACCCGTCACTGTGAAAGTTCGATTTCTAGAATCGGGTTCTTCATTACATCTGGGTGACGTTCGAGCAGTATCGACAGCTCCTACAGAGGTTTCCGTGGATGAGCCTTCAGCTGTTTCACCTCCACAATCCACAGCATCGCTAGACCCATTAATAGCAGCTGTCACATTTTGTTGCTACAAAATAAAATAGAGTGTCAAGTCCAAGCTTGTTCAATATAAGCCTGAGCTCTGTAGCACAGCTTTAGCTTAACTGGGTTCAATGCCGATTTGAGCTTCCCGGATCAATCCCGTTGACATGTGATTACTGATAGCTGCTAAAGGTCAATAAAACGGATGAAAGAAAGACGGAATAAAGGACTCGCATGCCATGGTGGTGAATGCGTTACCCCATGAAATGGTAACAGCGTGACCGGTCCCCACCGCAGATTTCAGCAGTCCGGGGTTTTGTAAATAACTCAGCATTATTGTGGTTATAAGTCTTAGCATGTTCGTAAAAAAGAAGCCTTCCAATGAATACACTAATGTTACAAAAGATTGGTATTGTAATCTAAAACAACCTCTATTTTACACAAGAACTATTCCCATCAAGAACAAAAACTTTCCATTAATAGAAAATATGATATGAGTAAACAGTAATATGAGTAATATGAGTAAACAGAATTTATTGAAGAAGCCAAACAACAAGTGTGCCTCAAACCATGCTTGAAACAATGAATACTGTTGTTGCTACTAGGTGCGTGTAGAGCAATGTTCAGAAGTGCCCTGCAATATACACGTGGTCGCTAGTTCGATCTCGGGCAACAAGTTCATCAAAACTTCCGTCGTCCCATCGGGATTAGTAAAATAGTACCAGACTTGTCTGGTGGGATAAAAATATCGAGTTCATGCATCAGAAGACCACCGAAAGTCAATGCACGATGCATGATGAAGTCGATGGTGCATCTCCATTGAGATTTATCAATGCCAAGAACTTTATTCTTTTATATCTTATTCTCGTTACGTTAAACGGTTCGGTGACCTGGGTCGACACTACATGTGATAAATCGTACGTGCCACTCATGAAGCAATCAAATTCATAAACACCATAGACCTGGGAGGCACATGCATTCTATGTGACCATTTTCGGAACTACAGGTACTATTTCCTTCCCGATTTAGTAGACTTCACATTCAGAAAAAAAAAAGTTCCAAATTCTAATAATTTTCAAACGCAAATGACCGTTGAATGCATTATCAGAAGAAAGCATATGGCAATCCCTTTGAGGAGACGGGCGATGAGTTTTCCAGAAGATTAGAGCAGCTGCTCATGTGAAAAACATACAAAAGCATGGATCGTATGTAAACATGTGAAAGCTGAGCATCTACGAAATAAGCAAACACCTCACGATGCGGTAGATAACCGGACATTAGTAATTATGTACATGAAACCTTAGGCTCTAACTTTTTTTATTTGCTAACCATTACAATTTTTCACGGCAGGATACTATGTGAAATACAACTATAACGATGCTAAGATATTTGCAAAACTCTGCATCGCAAGTGTCTACGGTGGAGAATGAGCACGCTATTACCCCTGCCGGAAGCTAAGGCATTCACCACCACAACATGCTCGTCCATCATTTCGTCCGTCTCTCTGCTAGTTTTCTATCTACTAGTGCCATGAACCTTCGATTAAATCTTAAAAAAGGATAAGGTTCTTGGTGTTGATCAATCCTTGGGGGATGTGCTATGCATTCGACTTCACTATGGAACGTTGGAGGTGACTGGATGTATACCAGGCCTTTACAACGACTCGCGGTGGTCTAGCCTACCGATGTGCCGTGACAGTGCTGTTATCATCGCAGACAAATCTGGCACCAATTTACCTACCCCGGAGAGATGAAGCGTTTGGTGAGCCTGGGGCACGATGATTGACTAAGTGTGTACTGCAGAGAGGCTCCAACCACTGCGCTACGCGCCCCTCAAATTCCCCTTAGATTCTTAAAAACCACTTCGGAGAGCAAACACCATGTACGAGAAAGTTCAGAAACACTTGAACGTTTGCACAATGGTATTCTTCACCCGAACTAAAAATGAAAGCAAACGAACAGACTACCTCTGGAACACTACGAGCTCCATTCTGTAATGCTTTCTCTTCATTTTCTACTTCTTCCATCTGAACGAACAAAACAGAAAAGACAAAAATTCAAAGTCGAAATGGAAATGGTTATATCGCACACATAAAAAAAAATAATGTAAGAGGGTTATAACCATTAGAAACAATGATTATAACAGCATGAAACGGAGAATTTATTGATTAAAGAGATCATGGACAATGCTAATACAGGTACAGGAACGGAGAAAGTAAACGCCTACAGACAACTTTGGAGACCAATGTTTTCCAAGTTAACGAAGTAGTTCCATGCGTTATTGAAGTGCAATAAATACTTCAATAATGGTTCCAGAAAGTTAAAAGTACTGAAAAGTTCGGCAAAGAAACAAAAATAAATGCTGAACGTCGCCTATACAGAAGGAAAAAAGTGAACCCATAGCGATACGGCTTGCATTAGTAAAGACCGGTAAATTTTGATAGACAACATATGTACACAGTTATACAGTAGGTCTCCAACGAAGCAATCGAGCCTTCATCATCAAACGTGGAGGATTCGCGACGAATTTACGTAAACTTTCCAAGCTCTTGAGAGGTACGATAATCCATGGCTCGATACCTTCCGGTGTTTCTGCGATTGAAGAAGGCTCATAAAGTTTAAGCCACTTAAGTGTAACGATGACATCATCGACCTGCATACCTGGAAAATACCAAGTATCATCTCTATGAAAGGAAAGTCAAAAAATGAACTTCAACAACGCAATTTCAACATTTGTATTCTCCACATACCAAGCATGTTAGCTAACTCAGTAATTCGAATCCATGACATATCCATAAGACTCATAAGGTGATCCACAATCATATAGGCCCAGAAATGACGATAGCTCATCAAACCAAGATCGGATAGAGGCTTCTCAGGTGATCCGTTGACGCCTTCTCGGCGCGAAAGTTCATAACCTATGAAATTATACAAATTAATAACTAATTAAACCCGATACCATTAAATTGAACTTCCAATAAAAATCGAAGCGGCATATGTTAAGCACTTGAGAACGAAGAGGTTAAAATAGACAACGAAGTACGCCAAAAGAAGACAAACGAATGTGGATCGACTCGGATCATCGACACCGAGGAAGATGAAGACGTCGTAAAGTTAACCGAATACACATCTGGCAACAACCTCGTGTTAGCTTATCAATGAAACACGGCACAATGATCATTTACACCGAGGTTAAATGAAAGCCGGTTCACAATGATATTGCTTCGCAATCTGGAAACTTATCTAATACCGATTATCCGTTGAAAAACAAATTATTATCAACGGATACTCATTTCAACAACAATCGCCCTAAGTAAAAGAGCACAGCCGGGTGAGACTGCCTTACTAGAGAGGTGCTCCACCGAAGAGGAACCGACTCGATACAACAATGAAGACACTACATCGAGAAGATCAACAACTGTGGACCATCGACTCGGACCAACGTCTCTAAGGAAAGCGAAGACGTCGAAATGTTAGCTGAACAAATATCTAGTTACAACCTCGTGTTAGTCTTTCAATGGAATAAAGTAAACCACAGACTTTTAATTCGCTCGAATTCAGTAAGTAAGTTTAGGAAGAACATGATGATGCAAAATGGGAAATTCTTTAAATTGAGGAACCAAAAGCTTTAAAATTTATGGACGACTGCTGAAATAGAATCAAAAGCTGTACACATTTATCTTTGCCTAAAAAACTTCTGTTCATCACCTTCCATAGTAAAGAACCGTTAACATCGATATTTATTTCAACAGGCCTCAGAAGAGTCATTAAAATCTAAACAGAATGAGCAACAATACGTATGAGTTACTTACTTAGTTGAATCAGAAAGCTTCCATAACCTTGTCGCTGAAACGGCGGAAAAACCAGAATGCAGTTTAGATTATGTCCATCGGAAGAATTACGTTCTTTCGAAAAGTAGCCAACAGGACGAATACCTGGAATTTTTGAATAAAACAATCTAAGAATTTCCATGATCAGATAGAAAAGAAAATGCAGAGGACGAAAAACGAGAAGCGACATAGCGGTTTTTTTCTCCCTATTTAGTTGGGATTTTTACACTTTATAATAAGAATTTTACAAACATGGCCTTCGGTAATTACAATGCAAAGTGTTCATGAAACTTCGGAACATTAAAAGAGCCTGAAAGTAAGGAAGGAATATTTTGAAGCCCAAGTCAGAGGATTATTTGAGGAAACAGTAGTTGAGAATATGACAGTCGGGAACGAAGAACTCTGCACAACTGAGGAACGAGAAACTGTGGCCTTCTTCTCGATCTCGTTTCACACTGAAGCCCACACATCAGTGTAGAATTAAGATACATACTAGGATAATTGGATGCCCCGTCCTCATTGATTGCGTGGGCCCCAGTAAAGTTTCCATTTCTTCAGTCTTGCTAGTTTATCCATTGTCGTTCCTTGGAGACCCGAGGTCAGTCTGACCAAAGTCTGCCGCAGGTCGTCACCACCGCAGGCACTCGCAGCACTCGTGGATCAGAGGGAGATTTGCCACCATGCGACTAATTTGATACCAGGACGGTGGCGGATCCTCGTATTGGTTTATGGGTTTCCTCATGGAAACAGACTACTTCTGAGCTAAGGAGACCCTAATGGGAGACGAATCCTGCCCCTGTAAATCGCAGACCGACACCCAGGAACATCTCCCAGTCATGATGAGACGGTAAACTGTTTGGAGGATAATTTAAGACAAGTGAGCGTTAAAATATACTTCAAACTGACGACCTTGAACATTTAAGACAAGAGAAATTTTTTTCACAAGAGGTGGTTGCCAAAGTGCTACAAGAACGACTTTTATCGCACCTGATCCATTCCACTCACAAATCACATAGAATAGGAAATTGTGGACGTCAAAGTAGATAGTTTTGTGGTCCATGAACAACTTCGCAAACAGACATAAGCACTGGCAGAATAGCTACAAAACAGATACATGAAAATCCAAAGGATCAAAATAATGCTGAGATATCTGCAAAACTCCGGACCGCAGGTGTCTGCGGTGAGGAACGAATGCACTGCTTCCCTTTCCGAGGAGTAACGCATTCAACATCACACGACGTGGGTCCTTCGTTTCGCCTATCTCTCAGCTAGTTTCCTATGTACCTAGCCTATCTATCTACCTATCTAATCTATCCGTCTACTTATCTATTTAGAAGCAACAAACTTTCCCTCTTCTAGGAAACTTTCTTATAAGAACATCTAAGACAATGATGTAGGAAACACTTACTCTTTCCTTGCTTCCATCAACTTCATATACAACAATATTTTCGATAGTGTCATGATAAATTTCTTTACCCGGGGGATGCCTTACAGTACACGAACTCTGAAACAACTTCAGAAATATACGGATCAACTTAGGAAATCCTAAGGAAAAAGTAGAGATAGCGTAATAAGAACTGGTCCTTGAAAACCATAGACCTGACAAGATCTTGAAACTCTTGAAAAACAATTCTAAACTCACTAAATGCATTTTATAAGCTCGTTCCTGACGCACATATAAGAAACAATAATCACAAATAAATAAATATCTTTCCTTACCATATTCATCCGGATAAGGAGAGACATACCTAAACAAAGGAGCAACGGCATTTATTAGGCACTTCAGTGCTTCTTATTTAACAGTTACTCACCACGTGTCTATTTCAAATTCACCATAACGGACCACTTCAATATACTTCACTTTTGTAACCTAAAGGAAAGCATCTATAACACAATCAAAATTCCAATTACAAAATTAAGAGCTGACGTTACTAAAAGGTAATGGTGGGAAACCTCCGAACGGTTTACCGCCTCATCGTAGCTGGGAGGTATTCCTGGGTGTACAGCTGCGATGTACAACAGCGGGGGGATCTGTCTCCCCATCAGGACCTCTCAAGCTGAAAAGCAGTCCTGCGTTTCTCTCAGGAAGCCCAGTTAAGAGTAGACCGCCCGATGATTCAGTACCGTCCTGGTATCAAAATAGTCACATGGTGACAAATCTCCCCCTGATCCACAACGGCCGCGACTGCATGTGGTGTTGAGGAATTGCGGCAGACTTTGGCTTGACTGACCTCGGGACTCCAGGGAACCACAATGGCTAAAACAGCAAAATTCCAAAAAACTGGAAACCATGCCAGTGCCTGCATTATCAGTGACGGGGCATCCAATTATCAAAATAAGTAATGGTAGAAATACCTCCTTGTGCTCCTCCTCTAGCACTTCCGAATAGTCCACTTTGAGACTGGAAGGAGAAATTTCCTTGGTTTTTCGAACACGTTTCTCTCTAACTTCACAACCCGTCGTTGGTTTCACTGATGACTGCAGCCGCGTTCGTAACTTAAATACGTACTTTATCGCTAATTTGCTCAAATAATAAACATTTAACTGGGCAGAGTACACCACATTTCAACAAATCAAGCTTGTTTATCGGTTGTTTGCTCAGAACTTATTGATAGCGGCATTGGGAGGAAAGTAGTAAAGTCCCAACCCACTTTTTCGATTCACTTTCTGCTTTGTACAAAGTTTTAAAACAGTTCAGCTTTCATTTTTCATTCAAAATACTGTGATAGAAACTATCTGCAACATTAAGCGGAAGGTATAGAAGTGAAGCAGTTCTTCACCTTGACTCTGCTCGAATCTATCCAACGATCCAGTCTTCTGTCATCACCATCAAAATGCATGTAAAGTTCAATGGAACCGTTCCCTGTTCCACGTTTATCCAACACTGTTGCATTCCTCCAACGACCTCGTCTTCCTCTTACTAGATAAGTTTCGCCGACCAACACACACTCTGCGTCCAAGATCGGCATTCAAACTACTTCACAGACGTCTATAACATGAATTTACTACACGCATAGATTAATGCCATAAGGGAAAACGAGTAATCTGCCAACTCATCGATGCATTACAGCTGTTGGCGTTCTAGGTTTATTCAACCATGTTAAGTAATAAAAGGATGGAGCTCTCGGCTTTGATCAATCCCTTCATTAAGCACCTTTAACAATGACTTAATGAATATCTGGCCTTTACGTTGACTCGTGGTGGCTTACCTATGTATCGAGCCAGTGCTGCTATCCTCACAGACAAGTCTGGCACCAATTCGCCAACCCCAGGGGATGAAGGGCTTGGTGGGCTTGTTCTTTGACTAATCCCTTGCAGAGCGGAGATCGATCCCAAGTGTATTGCAGGGCTCCTCTGACCACTCCGCTACACGCGCCTCCTTTGAATCATGTGACGAACAGATGAATAACTGTGTGTCTACACGTTAATCTAACTACGACACCTATATGTGATTGGAAACCTACCGCGTATTACATTTTTCTTCTCTGATAAAAATAACGATGGGAGACAGGACAACGAAACAATTCTAACTCTATGTAATTCAGTGACTAACGATTTATGTGACTGTTCTTTGACTAATCCCTAAAGTGACAATATAGTGACTGATAATATAGTAGTATAATACGCAAATATAAATGAAGTGTACAAAAATAACAATAAAAACATAGTAAGTATACCACCCAACGGTTTACCGTCTGATTGTGGCTAGGAAGTGTTCTTAGGTGTGGGCCTACGGTGTGCAGCCGAGGGATTCATCCCCTCAACAAGGCCTTCAAAGAGGATAAGGAGGCGGGCATTTCCACCAGGAAACCCAGCTAAGAGTAAACCAATACCAGGAACCACCACCATCCTGGTTTCAAACTAGTCGCATGGTGGCAAATGTCCCTCTGTTCCACAAGGGCGGCGACCGTAGGTGATGGTGACGACCCGAGGTAGAGTTTGGCTAGACTGACCTCGTGTCTCCAATGCACCACAATGGCTAAACCTGTGAAACTCCGACAAAAAAGTGGAAATTATGCTGAGGCCTGCACAACCAGTGAAGACGGGTCATCGAAGTATCCAAGTATGGTAGGTATAAATAATATAATACATAGTAGTATAGTGATAATGATGACAAATGAGCGTTACGATTTAGCCCTCAGTACGCTTGCTCCTATAGAATCCGCGTCACATTTATTTTTTGTGTTTAGGTTTGTGACCTTTACGAAGTCTATGTTGGAGCACCACGTGCGTAAAGAAAATGGCGCATTCACAAAATAACACCTATGGGGAAGCAGCTATTCTATAGGGTTACAGCAGGTGACCTGAATTCTAGTCAACACGACATAGTTGCGACAAAATCTTAAGAGTAAGTAAAACTACAAGCTTCTTGAAACCGGAAATGACTCTCCTAGAGTCTAGGTGACGATGAAACTGTGTTAAAGGTCCTAGGACAATTTCAAAGACTGAGATAAAAGTCGACTGAAATGACTCTAAAGAAAGTGGCGAAATGCAGAATACTACAGAGGTCACAAGACAATACGACAAAGAACGAACAGCGTACCGTTTCAAAGTATTAGCCGTGCAATGAATTGCAGTGATCCTCATAATTTGCAGACAATGTTTCATATATTACGTGGTATTTGTTCAAAGTCTAGTCATATTAAACTACAATGAAAGGTAGTTCGACTGGCTTTCAATTCTAATATTAATTCACCAGCCTTCTATCACATTCGTTTGGTTCTGCGTAATCGGTTTTTTGTGGTGTTACTTGCTAGTTTGCACTTTAGTTCAGTTTAGTAGTTTACTGCAATGAAATAACAGACCTAGGTTCGTTTCCATCACGTTTGTCATGATGTCCTTCTTCTATATCGATTGTATCGGTGTTGTACCATTGCTATGGCTTTTCCATTGATATTACTCGGACATACTTTTACCGTCCGACTGAATGAAGGGAGCTCCATAGCTCTTTTCGCTTATTCAAACGCTTTTCCCACACGTCTTGCTACCTTAGATGAGCGTTTGGTTCTTCTTAACTGGATGAACATTGTTATTCATCCTGTGTCACATATTTTATAGAAACTTTACTATAATCGTTTGTCTGGATCGTTTTCCTTTACTTAGCGATGTTACGTCGTGGAAAACTTGATGGAAAGAAAGCCGAGCAAGAAAGACTGCAGAACATATTGTTGGAGTTGCTCAAAGAAGATGAGAACAAGTACTGCGCGGATTGTCAAGCGAAGACTCCGAGGTGCTTTTTGGGTTATGTGTGGAATTTACTTTGAGGTAGCTTGAGTTTCAGATGGGCTGCATGGAATCTTGGAGTGTTCATCTGCATTCGTTGTGCTGGTATCCATAGGAATCTTGGTGTGCACATTTCAAAGGTATTCCTTTGGTAGCTACGGTAACCGTTCCATTCAATGAACCAAGTCAATTCAATTCAATTATCTACATATGTGTATCTATATTTGCTCACACATTAAGTATGTTTGCATATATACATATACTTATATGTATATATATATATATGTACATATACATGAACCTGTGCACGTATATGCATACTGTGCATATTTTAGGTATATATATATATATATATATACGTATATATACATGTGTGTGTACAATTATGTACATCTAGATCACACATATATACGTGTGTATGATATACATGTTATGTATGTATATCACATGAACGTTGTGCCCTTTATGCGCGTGTAGCGCAGTGGTCGGAGGCGCACTGCAGTACACACATGAAAGTGATCCCCGCGGCCGTGCCTCACCAAGCCTTCCATCCATCCAGAGTCAGCTAATTGGTACCAGACTTCTCTGGGAGAGTGGCAGTACTGATTGGATACATCGGTAAGCCACCACGAGTAAAGGCCAGATATCTATGCAATCACCTCCAACGATGCTTAATGAAGTCGAATGCATGGCTCATCCCTGAGCGATTCATCAACGCCAAGAGCTTTCTCCTTTTAGCTTTTTACCCATGTGCACATGTATATATACATCAACAATGTATATTATGTATATGATACACGTATTTACGTATATGTATAGGTTCGCTCGGTAAACCTGGACTCATGGACAGCTGAGCAGGTACAATCAATGCGTGTTATGGGAAATGAGAAGGCACGGAAGGTATATGTCTATGATTTTTTGCTTTTGTTCTTTTAAGGAATTTTAAAAATTTTTTCAACATAATGCTAGGTTTACGAGCACTCCCTGCCTGATCATTTTCGCCGCTCAATGACGGACCATCAAATGGAACAATTTATTCGTGCAAAATATGAACAGAAAAGGTGCATTTTCTTTGTTCTGCTATATTTTTCGTTAACATTTCGATGTATATTTTTGATTTTTAGATATATGTTAAATGGTTTCGTGTATCCTCAGATCGATATTAATGATTTGCCAAAGCCCGGTCAAGTAGTCAATAAACAGAAGAATCCCCCACAAGCCTTACGCACATCGGTATGTTCTAACTTTATTGTCCAGTACTTTTTTTTTCCACTAATTTGTCTGGGACTCCATGTCGGATCCAACCTATGTTTTTAAAGTAGCATCTCTCAGTTCAGAATAAACATTGTTATGAGTAATAATAACCATTAAAATCGATGCTTCTTTGTTAACGAGAAATGAGTCTATTTATACCAGTTCCGTAAAATTGTCCACTTCTTGAGGTCATGAAATTGAAGGCAGTTTCGGCCTCCAAGTATTGTCTGAGACATTCCTTGCGTAGGAACTTTCGAGTTGCTTTAAGAACTGGCAGTCGCTTCGCGGGAGGTGGCGAGTCTGCTGGATGAGGCAGAGTTTTGTAGTCCTACTCGTTTAACTTTCGCATCGTCGAAGGTGTGAATTGCGGCCAAGCTTCGATAATGCGGCATGTTGTTGTTTCGTGCGGCGCCAACCTTTCAAAGTTGTTGCATAATATTCTTTTATATTCTTTTACACGAAGGGTCTCTCACATCTACTTTGAGTATCCCAGCACTTCTTGCATCCGATTCGTTTCCTCGCATCCATCGTCTAAAAAGATTTCCCAACTTTTTACTTGTGGGTTTGGCCGCTGCTTGAGGATTTTGTCTTCATTATGACCGCAGTTGAATTCTGGTCGAGTGGATTCTTCCCGGAATCGTGAGATTCCCGGGTTGGAGCGTTCTCAGTTGGATTGCAAAGAGGAAACGTTTTCCAGACAAGTTCGGTACCAATCTATTGGCCTTAGAAGGATGAGAGCCTTGGTGAACCAGGAGCTGGGCGAGGCACTCGCTATGCTACTCGACCCAAAAAAAGCCATTTAATAAAACACGTACGGGAGAATGGAATTACAAGTTTGACACTAACTTCCAAACAAGCTAATACATTGGCATGGAATTTGTTGTGTGAGATAGGTCGGTAGAAATGTTTTTAAAATGAACGTTAGCAGTATCAGTTTTCCAGTTTGTTTTTCTAGCCAAACGTTCGGGTACCTGGTGTTTCAACTACTACTAAATCTGAAGCTGCAATTGTTAATGATCTCTTGGATTTTTCTTCTCCAACGAGTTCGTTCAGTCACGACAATGAAATCGGTTCACTCGCTGGAGATCTTGGAACACTTTCTTTGAGTAATGACCAAGTAAGAATTATGTGATACCCTATTTTATGCTGCTTCATTTCTGCATAGTCCTCCAGCTAGAAAGTTCCTTATATTATTGTGTTATGCTCACAGAACGGCTCACTACTTCCTGTGCTTCTTTAGAGACGTTTTCCTTTAACTTGTAGCGTTAATTACTTATACTTTAACTCAGAATGGGCAAGCGAATAAAACAGCGGAACTTGATGATACGTTTGGGTCTTTTGCTTCTGCTCCTATCATCGATAATGCCATGGTGGCTGGGAAATCTGATCAAATGTCACTCGACGACGATGAAAAATGTTCCGCCGTATGTTCACGAGCGTCAGATAACCTAATGTCTTTATCAACAGCTGATGCGTTACGTGATGAGAAGAAATCAAATGCAGATATACTTTCCCTTTTCGGAGACCAGAAGAAGGTACGGTGCGTAGGCACTTAAATCTTTACTATATCATATGTAATTGTTCTAGCAATGCATACTTTTCCAGGGTGTAGCTCCATCAATTGTACCTGTTGGAGGGTTTGCTGCATTCGGTTTGAAAGCTGCTTCTCCTCCACAACAAATGATGGGAATTAACGCACCGCCACCAACTGTCGAGAATCCGACTTTTACAGGAGGTCCAGCTATGAGTGTAGGATTTGCTAGTCCAGTTCCTGGGCAGCAGTCGTTTATGACTCGTGATGGGCTCCCGAATCCTTTCGAGCATCCGCGTGTAGGTGGAGTGATGCAATTTTCTTCCGGCTTTTCGACGTCAGTGAAACCACCAGTGCCGCAACAACCATCTTCTCCAAGCTACTCATCGCGGGCTAACAACGCATTTGCTGATCTTTCTCTCGGGAAAGTTAGTACTCTTTATATCTTTTCTTACTGAGAAGCTTATTGTTTAGTTTTTGCTAACTAGTTAAACTACATTAAGCGGATAGATTTTCATGGTTTGTTTTCTTATACCCTTGATTTTCAGTGATACACTTTCGTTTGTTTGACAGGTACTAAGCATGACTTATATGCATGACAAGGTCACGAGTTCAAATCCCACAGTGCAATCGCAAACGACAGCTTCATGTAAACAGAATTTCGACGATCTTCTGGGTCTTTAGGCTTTTTGGTACTAGTAACATTAATTTGGGTTAAATACCAAATAGGAGAAGTTCGATAGTGATAACATTTTGGTTGTTTATTGAATTTTCTTTTCCTGTACTTTATGTGCATGCTATTTTTCGCGTTCTTTCTCTTCTATTCTTCTCAAATTAGTCGAGAATAATTTTCTTTGTCATTGTATTGGTTGGGGCAAACGCCACTAAAGTGATATTTGTGTGATACCCTAATATGGCTCCTTAGGTAGTGACTGCAGTTTTTACGACTTTCAAAGCGTTAAATTATTCTTTCATCAGTGGTTGTTGGAATGCACTAAGTGTTGTTTTTCTTTCATCCCTATCGTTGATGTCTTCTGCTAGTGAAAGTACTTTTAGCCATTTACATTCCAACAAATTCGGTTGTGGCTCAATTATTGATCAGTGGTTTTTTGTACTGTCTTTTTGGGTTGTGAAGTTGTACCGTGATGCGTCGTACGATAAATTATGATATATTTTATGAACTTTACTAATTGCTAGTGGTGGCTACTAAGTGCTAAAGCTATTTCTGTTCTCTAGATAGGAAAGCCTCAATCTCTTCTTTATAACTCATCAAGGGTTACTGCAGATCTTGTGCAAAGGTTTCTGGACTCCTATTGGTTTTTTCTCCAAATATCGACTGCAACTAAGATATCTGTTTGGTTTTCTTATATGTCACTTTAATTGCGGAATGTGATTTCTGTCAATATCAATTCCTTGTTGATCCATTGTTCTTCTAGTTCACTATTTATTATCTTGTCATATTATATGATAATGATCGTCAGAGAGTTGAAAATATGTTTTATTCTGCTGTATACTACTGTGCATGTCCAGGCACGTTGGACTTAAGCAGTTGTTGATCTGGTCTGGATAGATCGGATAGCTTGTGGATTTCACGGTGAACAACGGCGACTATCGGCGTAGGCTTGCTATTAGTGGAACTAATGGAATAGTCAGGTTATCCATGATGGTGTTTCTAGTTTGGGTTACCTTTCCGGGTGAGAAAATCACCTATGTTGCGTCAGAGGTTAGTCCAATTATCAAGGAATCAACTAAGAACGGTATGCGGAGGGCAGTCAACTGTCGGAGCTCACGAGGCAGTGTTCCTTGTACCAAGTCGTCTTTCGTAGTTTTTGCCAATGTGTCTAGAAAGTTGTTCACCAACGAAGTTTCACCACTGTAAGTGGTGGCTTTCTCTGGTGTACACCGTTTCAAGCTAATAAATGAACCTTAGAATCAAACATTCGCGTGCCCTCGCCTTGGTTACGGTCCAAAGGATTTGACCGTGGTAAAACTATTCTGCCAATGCTTAAGGGGCATCTGTTTTTCGTTTTATGTTAGACCGTATTTTTAATGGACTTTCAACGGTTTAACGCCTTATTGTTTCTGGTTGTCCAATGACAGTGCTTCACAGGGTCATCTCCGAAACGTAGTGAGACAACCTGTGAAGGAGTTTGGCATTCCCACATTCATAGCCTTGAGAAGGTGGTCTATACCACAGTAGAGGTCATGGTATAAGTAAGTTTAGGAGACTATCCCATATTTAAAAAGGTTTCTTGTCCATTCATGAAGTATCGAGAAAAATTCATCGCTATGCTTTGGTTAAATCGAAGGCGACACCAAAAAATGGAAAGTTTGATGCGTAAAAAATATTTATTCATAGCTATCTAAGCACATGCATGCTGTATCCATGCTAAAAATCGTAATAGACATCAAATGAAAGCATTACAAGTTAAATAGTAATAATCGACTAGTCGGACCAACACGAAGGCACGTTAGAAGAAGAATAATCTATGGTAGAATAAGGCCTCACCGTTTATTGATTCCTAAAAATCTTTGTGGCCTTGTAGTGGTTCTACTCTCTCCTTTTTGATCTCTCTGTTTAGGATTTTTGAAGATAAAGATTTTAGCAATGAAATGTAAAGGCTCAATATAAGCAATTCGTGGCGGTGATGGTCAACCGGTGAATAGTTGACGATGTGAGTAGCTAACATCTACATTTTTCAGCGAGTCTGTTCTTTCTAGAATAAAGCTAGTAATGTGGAAAAAAGTGGAAGTGTTGACATGATTACTGTGTTTGTGGTGTAGTGGTGGTGGTTGTGTCGGTGACAGTCTTTTTCTTATAGTATTTGGTTGTCACATGCCTGAAGAAAAAGCTACACTTAGCTCTCAATCACGAACGATGTTCAAAATTGACTGGTAAATACAACTTTTCTCGACAAAATCTAGCGCACAGTCTTCTTCTGTACCAGTTATTTCCCACTTAGCACTCTCATCTTTCTGTCAGTGCCTTACGTTTTTGATACAAACAAACAGGCCGAACAATTGATGTTGTCCTTTTAGCGCTTTTATACATGATGTTTGCTATATCCTAGCTACTAATTAGTGAATTTGTAAACATTCTTCATACAGGCGGACTGCACATTGGTAGTGATGACGATTATCACGAGCACGATGCTGGCTCGATCCCGTTGCGGCCTCACCAAGCCTTCCGTCCCACCGAGATCGGGAAGTTGGTACCGGATTTGTCCGGGAAAAGTTCATTTGCTCTCTGCAGTCCATTTGCGAACGCTCTAGCCCGGCTATCTCAGGGCTCCAGTGAGAATCGACTCGACCAGCATTCCACGACATTTAAGACGTAACGGAAATCCTCAAGCAGTAGTTGAAGCCACATGTAAAAGTTGGAAGGACTTGGTGAATGATAGATACGAGGAAACAAATCGCATGTGAGAAATGCTGGGATCCGCTCAGTAGCTGGGAAGACGAGTCGTATACAGAAAAAAATACAAAGGAATATTTTCTTTATTAGACAGTGGTTATTTGGGAATCAATCAGTAAAATATGTTTGGTAGTGAAGTAAGACTTTTGGACAACTGAGAAGGTGACTCTATTGTGATTGGGCGTCACCGTCTCCTTAAGTTAACTGAACCTACTTTCACATTTACCGCAGTGCATCGGTATTTTATAGGTAATACCGATTTAAAATGGCGCGCGTGTAGCGCAGTGGTCGGACACGTCCTACAATATACATGGGATCGAACCCGTACCCAGGATCACCAAGCCCTCTATCTCTCTAGGGTCGGCAAATTGGATACCAGCACCGACTGGATTCATCGCTAGGCCATCGCTAGTCTTTATATAGGCCAGATATGCATTCAGTCACTTCCAACGATTCTTAGTGAAGCCGAATGCACGGTGTATCCCTCAGAGATTGATCAACGCCGGGAGCTTTTTAACTTTTACCGCTTTCATATATGTAGCTCGTTATCTATAAATCCCTTTGAGCTAACCTTGAGATTACGCCAGGCTCAAGATCCGTTTCCACAACTCGTTTCTCTTCTTCTTTCAGAAGTGCATACTCCTTGCCTGGATCGACAGCTGTCTGCATTTCACGCTTGTACGACACGTCATGGCCGTGTTGATCACGATAGCCGCCCTAGAACGAAACGACTAAAGAAAATGAATTATGTCAGAAGATGTCGTCATTTGTCTTCGACGTACTGAATTCTCGACACCTTTGTAAAGTCCCAAGTTTAATTTATTTAGACAAGAAGAGATACCTTTCTAAATGACATAATTCAAAGCACATAAACAACCATTATTCATTTTTTCTTCCATAATTAAATAGTAATGCAAGATTAAAACTGATATGAAACCAAACAGAAGCAAATCCTCAACATCGTGGTTATGTGAGTCCACCCTCTTCTAGATATATGCGAGCAGCGCTTTGCATTGGAGCGCACTTTCATCACTTAATTAAACTGTGTTTATACAACCACAACGTTGCTGAGATATTTGCAAAACTCTGGACCGCAGGTGTCTATGGTGGGGGACGAACGCGCTATTGTCCTTTCCGGGGAGTAACGCGTTCACCACCACACCATGCGGGTCCTTCGTTTCGTCTGTCTCTTAGCTGTGTTTATTATCATATTTGAATCGTATACTATTACATTAGTCTGCAACTTATTTCCATAGTTGCTTACTGTAGAACTTCAACACATCTTTAATTTGCTTCAGTATTTATAAATATTTTCGACTGTAACAGCAATGAATCCTCTTTACCTCCTCATGGTCGTTGGAGGTGTTCCTGGGTGGCAGGCTGCGGTCTACGGCGGAGGGGTTCATCTCCCAACAAGGTCTCACAAGTTGAGAAATCCGGCGTTTCTTTCAGGAAGCCCAGCTAAGTGTAAACGACCCACCACCGTCCTGGTATCAAACTAGTCGCATGGTGGCAAGTCTCCCGCTGATCCACAAGGGCGGCGACTGCCTGTGGTGGTGACTACCTGGGGCAGACACAATGACTAAACCAGAGAAAAACCCCAAGAAAATAGAAATTGTGCTAGGAGCCTCACAACCATTGAGGACGGGCCATCCATGTGTGCAAGTATCCAATAGAAATGATTAGGTAGCATTTTGTTGGAGAGTAATTTAGGTTATGTAGAAATATTTCTAACTATTTTCGCAGTTAGTTTTATCATCTTTTCATTTTAAATGTGAGTATGGAAAACGAATGAATCATTGCAACAAAAACTAAGATCTCGTTTAGTTTTTCAAAATGGACTAACGCGAATTAGAAATGAACAAAACGGAAGAGGAACAAGTAAAGAAGAAAAATGAAAGAAATTAAAAGTTGTAGAACAAGCTTCGATAATATGATGAAAAAAGCTGTTGACGGTGAAAGCATATTAGATCCCAGAACGATGAATGCCTCCTTTTTAGATCGATCACTGACATAATGAGCGGAGATTCTTATGTCCGGCGAGAGTCAGCTAAATGTTTTCACAGCTGGGAGTCGTTTATGGACCACGGCATGATGCTTACGGGCGTCTACCATTCATGGAACATACCACGACTGTGTACGTCGGCGAAGGAAAACGGAAAACGATGGGCTGGGGAACGTACCATTCACGAAGGCTGGCTATCCAAAGATTCATCTAAACTAGGAGAAGCTTTCAGCGAATCATCCTCACCTGATGAGTGTTCTTTCTGCTTTTCGAGTCTAACAAGTGTCATTATGGACTGATTGATACGGCGGTAATGATGGTAATCGTGGTTACAATGACCTGTTTGAAGTGCTCCCAAGGTGAGTTCAACCGTCCAATTTTTGTTGGATTGATGAATATCCAGAAGATGAAGGGAAAAAAAGCAAACAGAAAAAATACCTGAGTATTAGCATGAGTGTTGCTGATGCTACCGAGCGGTAATGTTTCGCTCATATCCTCTTTTCTGTTGAAGACATCCGATGCAGTTAAGGTTTTATTCGAATCAGATGAATAAATTCTTGTAGCGACCGGAATTGTTCTGCAATCATAAACTATAGCAATTCTTATTATCAACTTTTGAATATGTCATTGCTTTTCATCAGTGTTATTTCTTCAACTTTTCGCTCCAGAATTTGTGTTAACAGTGTGATTCACATCCTCTCGTCCTTGCATTCATCCATATCATTCTAGTCATGCTGATAGGAAGAGATGAATGTTTATAATACAATCCTTTGACGGGTGATTGCTGATGGCACTGGTCGATAGAGCTAGCTCATAAACAGGCGAAACGAAGTACACGCATAGTGTGGTGGTGAACGCGTTAGCCCCTGAAAGGGTAATAACGCGTTCGTTTCACACCGCAGACGCCTGCGGTAGGAAGTTTTGCAAAATATCTCAGCATGATTTTGGTTCATAACATATTTTTCACTAACGCAGAGGGGTTCCGACCATTTTTAAGTCAAGCTGTGCTAATATTTTTAGCGGAAATACGGATTATAATTTAAACATTTTTACCTGGTCTGGCTTGGAAAAAGTACATAGCGATTTTGATCGCATTTCTACTTTTGTATTTCTTTATTCAGAGGTCAAATCTGATGTCTTTTTTAGAAATTTGCAGCACAGTGGGATCGAAGAAGGAAATTAACTTCAGTTTCATTGGATGAGTTCATGAAATCTCTAAGTCCGGTGTGATAACGACTAAGAGAGAAGTTCATGGCTTATTTTCATCCTCTTTCTCCCCGTCGCTATTTAGTCTGTTACATCGTCGCCAGTTGACTATGAAAATTTCAGATCCTCAAGCTGCACTCGGCTCCACAAGCGAAGCCATCCATCTTCATGGATGACGTATATGCGAGAATGAAATGAATCAATGAATATCTATGGTTCGCGCACTATGCAAGGACACACCATCTACATACTTAAGTAAGTTTCTCACTCCATCTTTGAAGAAGATGTCTTTCTCGCCATCTGAATTATTGCTGCTTCCCTTTGGAGTGTGAAAAAAAACAGCAGTTGATTCATTCATATTGACTACTGTTTACATTGGTATACTTTTTGAATCGTTTCGGAAATTTGTTGAAGGTTCTGTGGGGCTAATTACATGCTCCCCAGGATACAATTTCTAAAGAGATTAGCCAAGACGACTTTAGAAACTTTACAGAAAGACCTAAAGATTATAAATGTTTGTCATTTTGAGTGGACCACCTATAGTTAAACATTACATAGTGATTATACATATATATATATATATATATACATGCATATATATGCACACATACGTACACGTATAAATAGATATATGTATATGCATATATGTACATATATATATAAACATATATATATATATAAAAGGTATATATATATATATATATATATATTATAGAGAACATTCTTTACGAATATTGGAATGTTCTCTATGTAAATCAATTACAACCTTATGTCAAACATTTCAAATACTGTTTCCGGTGATCTTATGGCGATCTGATAACCTTATGTCAAACATTTTCGAGTACGGCTTCCGTTGACCTTATGACGATCCGATAACCACATGGCTAACATTTCGTTGGCGGTTATCTCATGAAAAACATCTGCAGTTATAGTCCTATGCTTTGACTATCGCCTTATCAGATTGCAACGCTTGTGAAATGTTTCCGGCAGCCGTCCTTCCGCCTATTGTAGCCTGACTCCGCCCAACCCAAAGGGTACATAAACGGCTCCACTGCTGACTAGCTCAGGTCACAGCATTGCTGTCCAAATCACCATATCCTTTCCTCACACCGATCTCATGTGGTCGAAGTCTTATGACAACCTCTTCACTCTTGAGCAACCTGAACACAAGAAATCAGACTGCGCCGATTCATTACTTGTATCGTTGTTGTATTAATTGTACAGTTGTATTGTTATACCATAATTGTTGTACAATTATGATAAACAGTTTAATTACCCAAGTTTGAGGTTTTCCGGCATTGTGACTACTACTTACAAGAAGTCCCGCGTGGCATACACAAAGGCGAGCAGCAAATTCCGACCGAATCAT